CTGTGGCTTATTCCTGAGAGGAGACATCTGGATGGGCCAGGGCATGGAGGCTCGGAGGGGATTGATACCCAGAGAAAAGATGACCAGTTAGTTTTATCTTTCACTAAGTATGTGGTTTACTTCACGATAGATGTCTAGCTAGTTGGCTGAAGTTTCCACTCTCGTGCAAAACCTCAGCCCTCTGACATCAGAGGGAAGGAGCGTGGGAGGGCCTGGTTAGCCTTTCCATTGCATGAGGGGCCTCACCAGCGTAGAGTATGGTTTTGCTCAAAGACAAATGTTATGGTTTTCTCTCAAGGCACTTAATTTTTTGTTTGGGCCTTTAGGGATCAGCCTTAATAGTTTAATGTAGAATTTAGATTTTGGTTTGGCTTCACGAATTAAAATAAAATTTGTCTCCCTTTAATACTTTGAATTGTTATTTGAAAAGAGCCATGTGTGCAAGTACATATTGCCACTGACATTACATATAATCTTTTATTACAAAACTGAACATTATACTTTTCTGATACATTTTGTCTAAGGCTGACTTAGATCATTTGATAGCTTACTGTAAATTTCATAGAAAGTGACTTTTAATTGTAAAACAACTATTAACTTGTAAATCATGTTCTCCTATTGACATCATTTTAATCTATCAGTTAATAGAAACTATGATGCCATTTTTTACTTTTAATATTTCAGAAAAATATGCCCAAATTCAACAAAATTCCTTTCTACCTCCAACCTCATGCATCTTCAGGAGCAAAAACCTTAAAAAAGTAAGTAAATGTACTGTCATGTGATGCTTTTATCTAATTAATTACCAGACAGGTTTTTTATTCCTTATGATTGCTTTTATAGCAAAGGAGGCAAGGACTAGATATAAGGCTAGTTTTATAATATCACTCCATACAGTTTAACCATTTACCAAGTACCTACTGTGGTAAGCTACAGATGTTCAAAAATAAGATATGGATTTTGTCTCTTGCCATAATCTGTGCCCTATACTCTTTTATATGGAAGAGTGATGTGACCTCACCCTCCATTACTGACAGAAGTCCACAAGTTTTATAATATCACTTCATACAGTTTAACCATTTACCAAGTACCTACTGTGGTAAGCTACAGATGTTCAAAAATAAGACATGGATTTTGTCTCTTGCCATAATCTGTGCCCTACACTCTTTTATATGGAAGAGTGATGGTGACCTCACCCTCCATTACTGACAGAAGTCCACGTGAGGGGTGGGTGAGTGCTCCTGTGTATCCATAATAACTGCTTTTATGGATACTTAAGAAATCATGAGCGTAGGGGAAAGAAATGAATTTTTGGAGCTTTCCAGAAAGGCTTCTCGAAGGACATGGAATTTGAGCTAGACCTGTAGGATGGATAGAACTTCAGAGATATTCCAGGTCCAGGAAATGGTTTGATCAGGGATGTGGAAGTGGAAGCATGCGCAAGAACTGAAAACTGGCGAGGACCTCTGTGCTGCAGCCTAGGATGTGGGGGTGGTGGGAAAATAACTTCAGAGGGAAGTCGGAGAAGAAATTCTGGTTTCATGGGTGTATATCCTAGCAAATAAAATCAATAAGACTTTAAAACCTTGCCAGGAAATGGTTTGATCAGGGATGTGGAAGTGGAAGCATGCGCAAGAACTGAAAACTGGCGAGGACCTCTGTGCTGCAGCCTAGGATGTGGGGTGGTGGGAAAATAACTTCAGAGGAGAGTCGGAGAAGAAATTCCGGTTTCATGGGTGTATATCCAAGCAAATAAAATCAATAAGACTTCAAAACCTTTTGTTGGGGGTATTTCCAATCATATACAAACAAAGAACAGGAGAATGAACCCCCATTTTCCCATCCAGCAGCTTCCAGTCATTCTCCACACACGGCCAAACATTTGCTTCATCTGCTACTTCCTCCTACCCTCCCCCCACCTGCCTGCACACACAGGAGCAAGTCCTAGATCTCACTTCACTAGATGTAATGACCCTAAACTCAAGGTGCTTTCAGAGTTTGAGCCTGAGCCTACTTGGTTCGACCATTAACTGACATCAGAGAAACAGAAGGAGGTTTGGGGGTGAGGCAGTTGATGAATCTTGGTTTGGACATGTAGAGTTTTGAGGTTCCTGGGGAACAGCCAACTGGAGATACCCAGTCAGCTATCGGGTTTGTGGGTGTGGAGTTGGGGCAGGAGGTTGAGACTCAAGGTGTCAGCTGTAGGAAGGCAGGTCCTGGGGGAAATGGGCCTGGGAGCCCGGGGCCGCCTCCCCTCCCAGAGCAGTTAGTGTGTCTGCTCTGGTGCAGCATAATCATGGCTTAAAGGGCACCACAGAGGTCAGTTGGCAGTTCTAAAAATGGCGTAAGGCAATGACTAAAACTTGTATTGGTTTATGTTTCTGTGGTATGTTTTCATCTTTATAAAATGTTAATGCCAAAGAATATGGAAGAGAGAATATCCAGTGACTTCCCGATGTCAAGTCTGCCCTTGCTTTTTACAGAGATAGACTTTCTGCTAGCGACATGCTCCAAGTCCGGAAAGTCATGGAACATGTTTATGAGAAAATCATCAACTTGGATAATGAGTCGCAAACCACTAGCTCTTCTAATAATGAAAAACCAGGAGAACAGGAAAAAGAGGAGGATATTGCTGTGCTGGCAGAGGAGAAAATTGAACTTCTGTGCCAGGACCAGGTAGGTGGGCTTGCGGACCAGGGCCGGTGCTCGGAGTTACATCACGGGGTCTGATTATGGTTCCCAGGTCTGTTGCCTTTGGGGGGAGGAGGGGCTTCTGCTCTTAAAGAGGCTCTAAGGAACTCTGGGTGTCTCCCAAGGAAAGGACACAGGGTCATCTTGATTTGCAGAGCAGATTCTGTTAGTTTAGGATGTGAAGTGGGGTGGGTGGAGCTGTTTTAAAACAAGATGCACAGAAGGCCTTCGCGAGGAATGACTGGAGACAGTGTCCTGCGCCCAGGGTTGCCACCCGGGGGTGGGGGAGGGGAGGGCGCTCTGGCTCACCTGTGAGAGGCAACCGTAAAGGCCTTAGATAGCAGAGGCTTTGACATTTCTAATTTAGGTTTTGCTGTTCAGGTTTTGGATCCAAATATGGACCTGCGGACAGTGAAACACTTCATATGGAAGAGTGGCGGGGACCTCACCCTCCATTACCGGCAGAAGTCCACGTGAGGGGTGGGCGAGCGCTCCTGGGTATCCATTTACTGACCTTCCTCTGTGGCCCCAAGAGTAGTCCTAGGAAGCCCACTGAGCCCAGTGGGAGCCAGACTTCTAATGGCCGATTTGGTGTGGACTGAGATTCTCTTTCAACTGCAGTGACTAATGGAAATGTAATATAGAAACCAGCCTCCTTGTGTAGAGCAAGCTGTCCCCAGGGAGGCAGAGTCCGAGAGCAGAACCCCAGCCAACTGTCTCTCGAGATGTACAGAGACTGACAGGCCAGCGCAGGCCTGGCTTCCTCCTTTTATTTCAAAGGACCTTATCTTCGTTAGCACTTGCTAGAAACACATCCTGTAGGGCCATATCTGTCAGTGTTTCCACTTCACACATGCTGAGTAGCTTTTCTAAGAGAGTACATTCCATTCGTGCAGTACCTATGAAGGCTTTTTCCAAGTTTGTCATTAAAAACAAATTGTTTTCCCATTTAAGACAGTTATTTTTAATAGGAACTTGCTGATGCACAATTCGAGAGCCAGCCTATTTCATAAATGACTAGTGTTGGGCTTGTTTCTACTACTGCACCTCAGATGTGTTCCTGCAGATGGAGCTGTGGCACAGCGATGCCACACTGACCCCAGTGCCCCGGACTGTCCGGCAGCCACAGGGAGGTGCAGCTGTCGTACTCCTTCCTCCACTGTGTCATTTTATTTACGGGCAAAGCCAGGTGGCACCAGAGGTACTTGCTCTGGTGAGCAGCAAGGCACCATCAAAACTTAAGACCGTGGTGAAATTTTAACTTCGTTTAAAATGCTACCTAAAATGTATGGTGTCAGTGCAAGGATATCATGGTGAGTTGCTTTGGTAATTCATAGCCTGGAAACATACATATTTGTTTTCCAGAGTTTTATATGCAGGTTTTTGTTGTTGTACCTCTATCCAGATTGCTTTTCACTGTTCTTTCTAACAATCTAAAGCTTTCATAGAATCATTTGGATCTTGTACAGAATATAACTTATTGGGGATAAACACTTCAACTTTTGGCATAAAAACACTTTGGATTCTCCCCAAGGTCATTTGTATTCAGACGAGAGCAATGGTCTGCCCCGACCAGACTGCGTGAGACTCGCCTCCCGTGTGGAGCCAGAAGCACAAGTGCCTTCAGAGGCAGTTCCTTCCAGGCCAGGGGCCTCCCCAGCTCGTGTGCAGCGGCGCCCACAGCAGCGGGGCCTGGGGCGGGGGTGGGGAAGGGTTTCTTTTCTACATCCTCACGGGTTCAGCTGAAGGCAGCCAATGGGCCTCGGTCCAGACCTTCCTGTTCGAGACACTGGGATTCGCACAGCTGTAGGGACAGGGCTCCCTCCCTCCCGCACCGGGGGCAGCCTCCTCTGGGAAGTGGACAGGTCACTGCCGCTGGCTCTCTGAGGACGTGAGCCCCATTCCACCGAGCCCCCCTCCCTCACGCAGAGAGCAGCCCACTTCTTTTGTAAACAGCCCTTTCTATCTGTTGGATACAACAGTGCACTTTTGCTGCACGTTTTTTAGCAATAGTCGTGAATTCATGTCAAAAAAACACACCAAACTCATTTACCAGCCCTGTTGTGTTTGCATGAGGGGCCCTTGGGCTAAAGGGAGGGTTTTGCTACTGGGCCGTCTTGCCGTGCTCCCGAACCTCGAGAGGTGGCTGTGCTCCCTTCCTGTCATAGATCTGACCCCAGCATGGTTGTACTTTTTTCTTTTCTTCCCGTCAAACCAGTAAGTTTCCAGAAAAGTGGACAGTTTGCAATGCCAAAAGGGTAAAAATCTGTATTTCACAGTTGTATAGAATAAAGGCTTTAGTTAAAATATTCAAAGCATAGTACACGTTTATTTTTTCACTTGTCATTTTCCTTCAGAGCAGATGATAGAGAAATTGAGAAACCTCTGGTTTTCCTGTTTACCCTGGAAATAATTAGCATTGGTATCCGCTTTATCCTGCAACTTGGGAAGAGGCATGTGTGAAGCAAGGAAGACCAGAACCCTTGGGTGAGGGTGCCGGGGCCAGGGGGCCAGGCTGCAGCGCAGGGACCTGCCCTCGGAGCAGTCCCTGGGCTTGTTCTTCCTGCAGTTCTGCAGGCGGAGCTGGGCTCCCAGGCAGCCCCGGAGCAGGCCCCGGCGCTGGCCTTGCACCCAGGCCTCCTGCTCTGCAGTGTGGCTGCGCTGGTGGGCTGGACAGGGCTCGCTGTCCGTGCGGTCAGAGTGCTAGAAACTCGGTGTTCACTAATTGGGGGCCTCCCTCCATACACTTGGCCTGTGCCACCTTCGGCTGATCATCCTTGTGCTACGGGCCTAAGAGCTCTGAATTTCCTCGTACATGCGAACGTTACAAATCAAGCAGCAGCGGGGACTCAATGTGGACAGAGACTAGAGGACAAGGCCAGAGGCAGCCTTCATGGTAACGAGCACGGAGTGTGGGAAGGCAAGGGACTCTAGCCGGGGCAGGTGAGGACCCCGTCCCTGGGGGAGCCCTCCTCTTCCTGCAGGACAGAGCACAAGACCCATGCCTGCCTTAGCCTCCCAAGGCACCTGGTGGTAGGAGGAACAGCACACACACACACTGGGAAAGGACAGAAGGGCCCTCACCCACTCTGGCCCTGGCCTCTCGTTTCCCCTTGTGGTGGGAGCTGTGTGTAAAGAGATCTGGTCAGGACTGGCTTGGAGAGAGTGAATTTAAATTTATAACTTATTCACCACTGGGGCTGGCCGGGTGCCTTGTGTATGTAGAAGAGATTGTTGTGTAAGTTTGGGAGCTGACAGGGGATACACTGGAGATACTAGATCTGTGGGGTGTCAGCCCGAGGGAAGAAGAAACATCGTGGTCTAAGCACAGGTGAGTATCTGCTGAAGGTTCTAGAATTTCCAACCCTCCTCTCCCATGAGAGGTGGGCAAGTTCACTGCCTCTCTTCTCCAGCTGTGACTGGCAGATGTCAGTCAACCTGAGCCGGCTGTGCAGTGTGGCACAGGGATGGGAGCACGTGACAGAAGAGACAGTAATTGGGGCTTCAAGGGTCCCCAGGGTTGGGGTGCCTTCCAGTAGATAGCACGGGCTCAGCTGTGCAGGAAGAATCAAGGCAAGCTCTGCAAAGCGGTTAGGCAAACACCATACCAACCCCTTCCTCCCTTACCCCACGGCCACACCTGACCACGTCTGGGCCCTGCTGCTTCCTGGGCAGCCAGTGACCACGCAGGAGCAAGCACTGGGCCTCAGCGTACACGGCCAAGATGCCCTTCCCCAAGGCCCACGCCGCCTCTCCCCACCACCAAGGCTCCATGCGCCACACATGAGCAGCAAAGAAGCCTTCCTCTCCTCCCCCAGCTCCCGCCGGGGTGCTGCTCCCAGCTCCCTACCACCCCAAAGATGTGCTTAAGATTCTCAAACAAGGGCTCAATTCCCCAAAGCCAGGACCATCCCGCAGATGCTGGCAGGTCATTTCTTAGAAACCAGTAGGGTGAGTGGACACGAGCCCCCCACCTGCAGAAGTCCCCACACATCACTCGGAGCCACAGCCCAGGAAGCTGGACATACTGGGCTGGGATCAGGCGAGGGGCTGGGCCCACAGTGTGGCCTGAGCCACCTCCCCACACCTGGACCTCAGGAAATGCCATCAGGGGCCTTGCCGTTGCCCAGGGTGTTGTTCGGGGGTAGCGAGCTGGGCCTGGCTGGCTGCCTCGGCTTCCGCCCTGAGACCTGGACTTGCTGTGCTTGCCGGCTCCTCCTCGGCCTGAGCTTCGAGCAGCTCAGCAGACAGCCCGTCCTCTGGCGAGGCTGCAGAGGTGAGGCTGTCGGGAAGGGTCAGCTGCGGCAGGTGGTCCTGCTGGGCCTGGGCACCGGGGCTGTCCGGGAAGGAGACCTCAAACTCTGATCCAGACCACGTGGCCTCCCCTGAAACACACAGGAGGGGGCTCAGGGGGCCTGCAGGACCTGGGGCCAGTGTGGCCGGGGCAGTAACCCCACTGACCTCCAAATCCCACCCCAGACACTGAGGGAGAGGAGACAGCCAGTGTACAAACACCTTGACATGGCCGCATTCCTCCCACACGCCAGCCTCTGACCCATGGAGAAACGGGGCAGCCTTCCCAGAGGCCTCTGCAGGTGCAAGCCACTCACCGCCACGCTCGTGAGAGCCACTGCTGGAGCCGACGTCCTCCAGCCCTGCGGCTGGCACGGCGGTGGAGGTCAGCTCTGGGAAGGAGGGCAGGCTGGGGCAGACGCTGGCACTGCTGTCCAAGAGGGAGATGCCCGACACGTCCAGGAAGCCTAGGGGAAGGGGCACAGCTCTTTGCTAGCACAAGACCCTGCCTGCTGAAGGCCAGTCCCCTGGCTCCCTCGGGGCACCGTTCCTGGGGCACCTGGCTCAGCCTGAGACTAATCTCAGCCTATGGTGATGCCCCCAACCCAACCCAGAGGTTCCCCTCCCCCCCAACTGCTTGTTTCCAAGGAAAGAAAGGGGCCTGGCATTGGGCATCATGGGAGCGGCACAGCAGCAGAAGGACCAGACCCTGCTCCGGCCCCAATTTGCTGCAACCTTGAGCGGGCACCTCTCTTCTCTGGAGATAAGTATCCCCGTCTACACCCTGTGTGAGGTCACCTGCAGCCATCCTGGCACAGAGTAGGGGTCAGGAGGTCTGAGGAAGGTTTTGGTACTGTTGCCAAAGTCCAGGCCTGAGCCTGGGGCCCATTTCGGCACCAGGGGTGGCAGGTTCCTAGCCTCCCGGCCGGGCCTGCTCACTACCTGGGTCCATGACTCGCTGCACTGGAGGCGGAGGCTGAAGAGGAGTCTCCATGGGCCGTGGCAGTTCCCCAAGGTCACGCACACCATAGCTGAGAGGCCCGGGCTCAGGAAGCAGTCCCTCTAGGGAGGAGCCGGGTGCCTGCAGCAGGGCCTAGGGGAGCCAGGGGAAAAGAGGGCCCAGGGAGAGGGCGGTCGGGACAGTGTAGTCCAGCTTCGCCCCCAGCCCCCACCTGCCCCAGAAGCATCGCTCTGCCTGAAGGAGCAAACAGCCTTGGCGGTCGGTCCCTCTCTACAGGTGATGTGAAGTCAGACGGGGGCCTGGCTGGCCTCCCCGGCAGTGCCGACACGGAGAGGGAGCACTCTTGCCACTCTGAGGAGCCCAGGTGCCCATCTCGCTGGGCCCCGTCAATGACCCACAAGAAGGAAGGGCCTTCCCTGAATTCCAGCAGGCCTGGAAAGCCATCCTCCATGCCCCGGGCACAGGTCCCAGGCACCAGCCCAGGGCCTAAAGGCATCAGGGGACCTGCTCAACAGCCATGAAGACAAGACCAGCACTCTCCTGCAGACGCGGCCGGACAACCAGCCCTGCGGGGACTCTGATGCCCAGCCTCTGGCCCAACCTTACCACAGACTCACTGAGGCACAGCGCAAGGCTCCGCCCGCCCCGGAGCCTGTTTCCCACTCATGAAATGTGAGTGACAACTAGTGCCTCACCTCCCCACCTCAGAGGCAGGAGAACCAGAGCGGGTTTCATGGTCCCAGAATGGGCCCAGCTGTTCCCACGGGGTCCCACAAGCAGGTGGGCCTCCTAAGGGCCTCCAGAACCCTCTTCCTTCTGTCCACATGAAGCTCCCCACATCCCCTAGTTGACAGGGGCTCCCCACGTACCTCCAAGTAGTCACCCTGCCTGGAACCCATCTCTGGGCCAGGAGGGGCAGGAGAGTCCAGGGGGGTGGTTCCAGGAGGCAGGGCACCAGGTGGTGGGGTACCAGATGGCAGAGTACCAGGTGGCAAGGCACCAGGTGGTGAGGTACCAGATGGCGGAGCACCAGGTGGTGGGGTACCAGGTGGTAGGGCACCAGATGGAGGGTTACCAGATGGCGGGGCACCAGGTGATGGGGTACCAGGTGGCAGGGCACCAGGTGACTTCTTGTGGTAGCTGGGGGGCTGGATTGGGATCCGATGCAGATACCCGTAGCCGATACCACACCCCAGACTGCCGAAGTCCAGAAACATTCAATCCAGGAGTTGTCCCACACCTTTCCTGTGTCTGCCACCCCCACCCACCAATGGCAGTGAGGGGGCTAAAAGGATGCCTCCTGGACCATGGTCAGCCTCAGGATCCCTAAACCAGGGCCCAGCCCTCCACCCCCCACCATGGGACTCTGGGGTCCATGCCCTCCAGCCAGGCCCACCCAGGGCCCCACCAGGACCCCACCCTACAGCCCTCCGACTCCCGGAAGTACCTGCCCTCTCCACCCCAGGCTGCGTTGGGAGTTACAGACACCTCCCGGCAGGAGTCGGACTCGGAGTTATAAACCATCAGCTTCAAGGGCTTCCCCTCGTGGGACTCGATGAGCGTGAAGAAGTCCTCAGACTGGGACAAACACACGGGCCTGAGCCCTGGCCCCAGCGCTGGAACTGGAGGCACTTCCCATGGACAGCACCCACATCTCCACACCCATCTGGGGTCTGGGGAGGGCTGGGCCTCGGGTTCCTCACCTCCTGGAGGAGCTGGTCTGAGCCAATCACATAGTCTGTGTAGGGGCACAGGCCAGCAAGGGAGGCAGGCGAAGAGGGTTCCACATCCTGGGGAAGAATTGAGAACCATCACCTCACTACTGGCCTGGAGGAGGGGCCGGGAGCTGCCTCTCCAGGTAGCCTGTAGGACACATGCCCTCTGTCCCCAGGCCAAGGCCTTGAGCCCAGACTCTCCTACCTTACCCCCCAATTCCCCTACCTCCCCAGCAGAGGGCAGTACTGTGGCATGGCTCACAGCTCTGAGCTCTGGAATCTACCCTGGGTTCAACTCCTGACTCCACCAACTGCTAGCTGGGCGATTGGACAAATACTTAACCACTCAGCTGCAGGTTCCCAACAATTAAGACTACGATATGCAGTGCTCACTCACAGGGTTGCTGAGAAGATTTTAGAAGTAATATATGTAAAGAATGAAAACCACACTCTGGCCCACAGTCAGTGCCCAACTGCATGGCTGTTAAGACCCCTGGGTATAAGGATCACCCTCTCCCTTAGAGGAGCCGTGAGCCACTGGCCCGTCCCAGCCTCCTAGGAATGCGCAGGGATTTCCATCTTCGCCCCGTGGCACTAGTGGACAAGCTGAGGTAGGTCTAAGGTTGAGAAGGCTCCCCGAGAAGTCGGTGAGCAACAGAGGAGGCTGAAAAGCCAGCCAGTTTCCAACGCAGGGCACCCTCCTGTGACCAGGTCGCGGGAGCAAGCATTCTTGCGAACTTGGGCACCATCAGTGGGCGCACATGGCACGTGTGCACGTGTAACTGTGCTGGACACTGACAGCAACGTCTGTGACAATTCCGTCACCGAGACTCACAAGGTTCAGACCGCAGGCACCAGCCCAGTGCCGAGGCGTCTCAGAGGACCGGCCGGAAAAACACACCAAGGCGGCCGCGGCGGCACCACCACCCTCCAGTAGGTGGCAGCCCCACCTCTCGAAATAAAAAACCATGTAAAGAGCAGGGGTGGGGAACCTTTTCTCTGCCAAGGGCCATTTGGATATTTATAATGACACTCGAGGGCCACACAAAATTATCAACTTAAAAATCAGCCTGCTCTATTTGGCCAAACATTTAATTCACTCACCGCTCATGCCTTGGCAGGGCCAGACTAAATGATTTTGCAGGCCTTACGTGGCCCGCGGGCTGGATGTTCCCCACCCCTGGGATAGAGGGTCAAAAGTGCCCAAAGGCATACGGCTAACAAGAGGCAGGGCACGCCATGCAGGTAAAGAGCTGCCCTCTCTGGACACTGGAGTGAGAAGGACCCTGCCCTCAGGGAGTCCTCCAATAGTCCACCTGGCTACTGGCCCTGTCCCAGTTGCCCCCACACCCTCCTCCCCACCCCCCGGGACCCCCCCCCCCGTGTCCTGGCCCCACCACCTTCCCCTGCAGTGCTTGGCCTGTGGCCCCAATGCCCCACTCATCGCCCCACCCACATCCGTGCCCAGCCCCACCCCACTCACCAGCACGTGCCACACGTGCTCGCTGGCCCTGTGGAAGCTGCAGAAGCGCACACTGGCGCCCAGCAGGCCTGGGCCGCCCCACATGTTGCTGGGCACCACCTCCACCTCGCGCACCCGCATGGTCTTCATGTTGAACACCTGCAGCTTCACCGGCTTCTCCACATTGGCCTTCAGCAGATCCCTCAGCGTGTCAGTCTCCTTGTTCTATGGGGGCAGGGGGCTGACTCCAAGGACCCCCACACCCCATCCGGGCCACTCAGACAAGTCTGGGTCTGAGGTGGGGCAAGGGCCTTGGTGGCCAACTGCCCCGGCAGGGCCACACCACCCCCCAAGTAGTGCTAAATGGGCCTCCCTCAGCTCCCCCTCTGACCCAGAAAGCACAACAAACTCATCAAAGAGCCTCCTGGGTTCAGGGCACTGCAGGCTGTCCCACTCTGAGCTGCCCCGTGGCCAGAGCCCACATCTCTCATGCCCCAAGAGGCAGGCCCCTAGGCCCCGTGGCCAGCTCCAAGAGTCCATTGACCTCCAGTCCACCCCAGAGAGCTCAGGAGCTGAGCGCTGGGCAGGGAGAAGAAAAGGGAGGCGGGAGCTGGGCTGGAGCCTCCTTTGGGGCATACGGGACGGACACACACACACACACACACACACACACGGCAAAGCTCACCAGCCTTGAGTGCCCGATGGTGATGATGAAGTCAAAGTAGGGCTCCAGGCCCGCTTGCTGGGCTGGGGAGTTGTCCTGCACCTGTCCCAGGGCAGAGGCCGGTCACGGAGCCCACCCCGTGGCTTCCAAGAAGCCCCGGCCCTCAATGTCAGGGACCATCACCACTCCCCGTGTCCCAGCGAGGAAACGGGCACTGGCATGAACCGTTCCGGACAGGCCACACGTGGGCACTGCTGAGGTGACCTCCCTCCTCTGCCACCACCTTCCCGGGCACACATTTTTCCTCTTTAGGAAAACAGCTCTTCCCTGACCATGATCCACAGATCATGCTTCCAGGGATGCCTCGTAGGAGAGCCCTGGGCAGTCTGGGGGCTACCAGGAGGCCCCAAGGAACAGGGTGGCGCAGGCCTACAGGGAACGCCGGGAGGGTTTCCCAGAAAGGTTAAGATGTGGACAGAAAGGGAGGGCCCTTCGTACAGAAGTGGGCAGGGCCCCATGAGAGATAGAACCAGGGCTGTGGCCAGAAAGAGGCAGCGGGGAAGGCAGCCTGTGGCCAGATCCCAGAGGGCCCCAGACCCTGTGGTGACAGATCCCAGGTCAGCCCAGCAGGTGATGGGAGCTGCTGAGGAGAGCAGACCACAGGGGCAGGAAGGAGCCTGAGCCACGGAGCCTGGTGAGCAGTGCCAAGTCCTCGCCTCACAGTTCAGCCTCCGCTCCCATGCAGGGCATAGGAGTCACTCCTGGCCCAAGGGTGCTCCCTCCTCCCCCCTCC